AGGAGCAACGGCAGTGCCAGACACGTAATCGAACAGTGAAACGCCCTCTTTGGCATCGGTCAGAAGGAACAGTTGGAGATCATCTAACCACACAGTGAACTCTATGGGGCGACCGTCAGGCTCGAACGCGAGAACGTTAGGCGTCGTCATAATGGCAGCAGGCAGAGGCAGGAGGCAGCAGACAAGAGGCAGTAGGCACCAGGCCACAAGCAAAGACCGAGGTAGCAGGCAGCAGGCAGGAGACAGCAGGCAGCAGGCAGCAGGCAGCAGGCAGGAGCGGCCGCACGCGAGCTCCTAAGGCAGCGCGCTAAGCAGCTGCGGGCCGCACAGGCGGCCGACGCGACGCGCGGCGCAGCAGCGGGCCGCGCTGGCGACAGACGCGGCGCGCGGGGCGACGGCGGGCTGCACGCGACGGCGGGCTGCGTGCGGCGTCGGGCTGCGCGGGCTCTACGCGGGCTCTATGCGGGCTGCGCGGGCGACGCGGGCCGGCGCGCGGCGCTACAGCAGTGGCGCGCGCTAAAAACAGTGGCGCGCGCGCTAGTAGGCGAGGCGCGCGCGAAAAAAAAAAGTGACGCGCGCTGCAGCCGAGGCGCGCGCGGGCAGTAGGCAAGGCGGGCAGTTAGGTGGGCTCGATTCTTAGGTCCTAGAGACCTCCTGCTCTAGTTACAATGTTAAGAACTAAGGCAAGAGTGAGTGGATTAGGTAGAGAGTAGGGTACAAGACTAGAGTGTCGAGGTTGTTTTTGTACCCTCTAAGGCTAACCCCACTACAGCCTACCCAATTATAATCATACAAGTATGTTTCACACCTCAGTTGCATAACACGTGCAAAAACGACACATAACAATAGCGAGTGAATGCTAAAACGCATCGGTGCTACAACAGAGATGGTTCCGGTATGCTAAGGCGAGCAACGCTGCCCCAACAACGATCCCCGCCTCAAATGTAGACCCGACACACTTTAGCATCACACGTCAGTTGCACACACGAGACAGACAGGTGCAAACAAACATACACATCGCACACACAAGCTCACACGCGCACGTACACACACGCATAAGCACACGCACACACTGACACACATGCAAACAACCGCAGATAGATACAGAGACCGCAATAAACACGCAACCGTCATGAATAAAATTCAGAAATGCATAAATAACTGCTAGCCTATCCCACCCTACCCTCCTTACAACCCTCCCTCCCTCCTTCCCTCGTCTCCATCCCACTCCCTCCCTCATCTCCCTTCTCAGCTCACATGCCCTGCACAAAGAAAAAACAGAGAAGTCAACACACATACGCCCTGCACAAAGCAAAAACAGAGAAGTCAACACACACACGCCCTGCGCAAAGCAAAAACAAAGAAGTCAACACACACACGCCATGCACAAAGCAAAAACAGAGAAGTCAACACAAACACGCCCTGCACAAAGCAAAACAAGAAGTAAACATCTACACGTCCTGCACAAGAAAGCCAAAACAGAGAAAGCAACAGCACACCTTGCCCAAAAAAACAGTTTGTGATCACACACTGTACAAGAAACCAAAAGGCCAAAGGCCATAACGCTAGCGCTTCAAGCGCGGCACATTAGGTGCCATGCCAGCGCCCAAGCGTTAGAGCGCGCTGAGCGAGTGTGCTTGGCACTAGCTTGCTAGTTGCCAGCGGCCTAGACGAGCGTGTGAGGCGTCGACACCTTAGCCGGCACTTTAAGCACTAGTGCAATAATCGACCCTCATTTGTGTAAGTAGCCCCAGTTGCCCAAGCACCAGCAGAATAGATGCTAGTGCCTACGCCCCAGCATGCTCATTCGCTCTTTCACGAGCTCTCTCACACGCTCTTTCACGCGCTCTCTCACGCACTCTCTCACGTGCTCTCTCACGCGCTCTTTCACGCGCTCTCTCACGCACTCTCTCACGCGCTCTCTCACGCGCTCTCTCACACGCTCTCTCACATGCACTCTCAGGCACACTCTCACGCGCTCTCTCTCGCGCACTCTCACGCGCATTCTCTCTCTCACGTGCTTTTCCACTCGCTCACTCAAGCCCTCTCGCACGCGCTCTCTCACGCACACTTTCACGCGCACTCTCACGCTCTCACACGCGCTCCCTCACGTGCTCTCTCACGCGCTCTCTCACGCGCACCCTCACGCGCACCCTTATGCGCTCTCTCATGCGCTCTCTCACACACACTCTCATGCACACCCTCACGTGCATTCTCTCTCGCACACTCTCACGCGCATTCTCTCTCTCTCTCACGCACTCACTCACACGCTCTCTCATGCGCTCTCTCACGCACACTCTCACGCGCACTCTCACGCTCTAACACGAGCTCTCTCATGCACTCTCACGCGCTTCTCTCACACGCTCGCTCACGCGCACCTCACGCACACCCTCACGCGCTCTCTCACGAGCTCTCTCACTCTCTCACACGCGCTCTCTCACATGCTCTCTCATACGCAACCTCACGCACTCTCTCACGCGCTCTCTCATGCGCTCTCTCACGCGCTCTCTCACGGGCACCCTCACGCGCACCCTCACGCACTCTCTCACACGCCTCTCTCACGCTCTCTCTCACACGCTCTCTAATGCGCACCCTCACGCGCTCTCATGCGCTCTCTCATGCGCACCCTAACGCGCTCTCTCATGCCCTCTCTCACGCGTTCTCTCGCGCGCTCCCTCACGCCCTCTCCTGCGCTCTCTCACACGCTCTCTAATGCGCACCCTCACACACTCTCATGCGCTCTCTCATGCGCACCCTCACGCGCACCTTCACACGCTCTCTCACGCGCACACTCACGCGCTCTCTCACATGCACTCTCAGGCACACCCTCACGTGCATTCTCTCTCGCGCACTCTCACGCGCATTCTCTCTCTCTCACGCACTCACTCACGCGCTCTCTCACGCGCTCTCTCATGCACACTCTCACACGCACTCTCACGCTCTAACACGCACTATCTCATGCGCTCTCTCACGCGCTTCTCTCACACGCTCACTCACGCGCACCTCGCGCACACCCTCACGCGCTCTCTCACGAGCTCTCTCACGCTCTCACACGCACTCTCACATGTTCTTTCATACGCAACCTCACGTGCTCTCTCACGCGCTCTCTCATGCGCTCTCTCACGCTCTCACACGCGCTCTCTCACATGCTCTCTCATACGCAATCTCACGCCTCTCTCACGCTCTCTCTCACGCGCTCTCTCACACGCTCTCTAATGCGCACCCTCACGCACTCTCATGCGTTCTCTCATGCGCACCCTAACGCGCTCTCTCATGCGCTCTCTCATGCGCTCTCTCACGCCCTCTCTCACGCGTTCTCTCGCGCGCTCCCTCACGCCCTCTCTGTCAGAATATTATGTTTCTCTAGTCTGCAATGGGGTACTCTATAGTGAGTACAACCCTTTTAGGGTTTGCTATATGTATCCCAATGTTTGCTAGTGAACTGCTCCTTCTTCCATTCCTCGTTCATTTTTCACATGCTATCAGAGCATCTACGCTCCTGGCCTGTGGGCCCACCTAACTGCTTCCGCTGCTACTCTGTGTTTTGCACGCCCCGTGGCGTGCGACGAAATTTTTCTTCCCCTCGCGCCACCCTTAGCGGCCCCGTCGCCGCCCTTCTAGGCCCCTCGAGGCCCCTTCGCGGCCCCGTCGCCGCCCCTAGCGGCCCCGTTGCCGCCCTTCCAGGCCCCTCGCGGCCCCTTCGCGGCCCCGTCGCCGCCCCTAGCGGCCCCGTCGCCGACCTTTCAGGCCCCTCGCGGCCCCTTCGCGGCCCCGTCGCCGCCACTAGCGGCCCGTCGCCGCCCTTCCAGGCCCCTCGCGGCCCCTTCGCGGCCCCGTCGCCGCCCCCTATCGGCCCCGTCGCCGCCTCCAGCGGCCCCGTCGCCGCCCCTAGCGGCCCCGTCGCCGCCCCTATTGGCCCCGCCCCGGCCATGCTCCGTCGCCTGTCGCGGCGCACTGGGGGCCCGTGCACCCCCCCCCCCCCCCCTCTTTTCCCGTCGCCTGTCGAGGCGACCTGAGGGGCGACCTGGGGGGGGGGGCGAGCGCCGCCCCTTCTGCCGCCTGTTTTGGTGCCCTGGGAGGCCGCGCGTCGCCCCCCCCCCCCCCCCCCCCCCCCGTAACCTCCCTACCCGCCGTCCCGCCCTGGCCTGTGTTAGGGTCTGGGGGTGGCGAGTGGGGGGTGGCGGGTGTGTGGTCTCCCCTGCTCCTCCTCCTCCTCTGTCTCCCACTGCTGCAGCTGCCGCTGAGGGGGGTGGGTGTGTGGGAGTTGACGGAGTGGTGCTAGGGGGTGGGGTGTGAGTGAACCTAGGGGTGCAGTAGGGGGTGTGTGAAATGGGGGTGGGATAGTTTGGGGAGGTTGAAGGGGGTGGCCGCCGTGAAGCCCGCAGCTCCAGTCGCCCGTGAGACCGTTGCGCCAGTCGCCCGTGAGCCCGTTGCGCCAGTCGCCCGTGAGCCCGTTGCTCCAGTCGCCCGTGAGTCCGTTGCTCCTGCCGCTCAGAGTTAGCCGCGGAGCCAGTTACTCCAGTAGCCCGTGTGCCAGTTGCTCCAGTTGCCAGTGTGCCAGTTGCTCCAGTTGCCTGTGTGCCAGTTGCTCCAGTTGCGCCGTGTGCCAGCAGCTTCAGCTGCCGCCCACTACCTCCTCTCCTCTCATAGTCCCTCCTCCTCCACACTTGCCCTCTGCGATAGCCTCTAGCTTTGCTTACATTTGTGAGCTTTAAACTGTTGCTTCTTGTACTTGTGCTCAGAATGTATGGTGACATTGTGATCCACCCTGAGCTTGTTCTGCTTTGCTTGTTGTGCTGATTACACCCCACTTTGACTATGGGGGTGTGTCAGAATATTATGTTTCTCTAGTCTGCAGTGGGGTACTCTATAGTGAGTACAACCCTTTTAGGGTTTGCTATATGTATCCCAATGTTTGCTAGTGAACTGCTCCTTCTTCCATTCCTCGTTCATTTTTCACACTCTCCTGCGCTCTCTCACACGCTCTCTAATGCGCACCCTCACGCGCTCTCATGCGCTCTCTCATGCGCACCCTCACGCGCTCTCTCACGCCCTCTCTCACGCCCTCTCTCACGCCCTCTCTCACGCGATCTCTCGCGCGCTCTCTCCTGCGATCTCTCCTGCGCTCTCTCCTTCGCTCTCTCCTTCGCTCTCTCCTTCGCTCTCTCCTTCGCTCTCTCCTTCGCTCTCTCCTTCGCTCTCTCCTTCGCTCTCTCCTTCGATCTCTCCTTCGCTCTCTCCTTCGCTCTCTCCTGCGCGTTCGCTCCCGTGCACACGCTCTCCCCTTCGTCGGATGAAAGTGCAATGCAAGGGGAGACCAATTGACACAGGGCAAAAAACAAGGGAATTTCAGAGGCGACGGCGGAGAGGAGGGAGAGGCGACGACGGAGAGGAGGGAGAGGCGACGGCGGAGAGGAGGGAGAGGCGACGGCGGAGAGGAGGGAGAGGCGATGGCGGGGAGGAGGGAGAGGCGACGGCGGAGAGGAGGGAGAGGCGACGGTGGGGAGGAGGGAGAGGCGACGGCGGAGAGGAGGGAGAGGCGATGGCGGGAAGGAGGGAGAGGCAACGGCGTGGAGGAGCGAGGCGACGGCGGAGAGGAGGGAGGGGCGACGGCGGGAGGAGGGAGAGGCGGCGGCGGGATGGGAGGGAGCAGCGACGGCAGCTGGAAAGGAGGGAGGGGCGATGGCGGGATGGGAGGGAGCGGCGACGGCGGCTAGGAGGGAGAGAGACGCGATGGCGGGGTGGGAGAGAGGGCGACGGCGGGGTGAGAGGGAGAGGCGACGGAAAGGAGTAAGGGATAGCTAGACGGTAGGTAAGGCGCGACTGCAGGTTTGGGTGGGAATGGGCGGATTTGGAGGGAGAACCAAAGCAAGAACCAAGAAGCAAGAAAAAGCAAGAAGCAAGAAACAAGAACCAAGTAGAGACGAGAGTGTCAAACATTCATGCTATAGTCTTTCTAGGCTGTAGTGGGGTAGACAGTATGGGGTACAGTTTCCTAGGGTTACATATTTGTACCCAACTCATTTCCTAGTCAATCATTCCTCGTTATTTCACATGGTATAGAGCAGGTTCCCTAGTGGGAACGTTTCCTAGGGCCCACCACTGAAACGATTTTTTTTTTTTACCTGCCCGTAGCGCGCTTCGCACCTGCCCTAGTCGCGCCCCGTGCGCCTGCCCTCCCGTCGCGTCCCCTGCCCTTAGCGGCCCGTCGCGCCCTCTTAAGGCCCCTTCGCGGCCCCTCTCACGGCCCTTCGCGGCCCCTTCGCGGCCCCTTCGCGGCCCCTTCGCGGCCCTTCGTGGCCCCTCTCACGGCCCTTCGCAGCCCCTTCGCGGCCCCTCGCGGCCCCTCGCGGCCCCTCGCGGCCCCCTCTCGGCCCCTTCGCCGCCCTTCGCGGCCCCTTCGCCGCCCTTCGCGGCCCCTCCCCAGCTCTTCACGGCCCTGCCGCCCCGTCGTCGCCGCCCCAGCAGCAGCTGCCGTCACGCTTGCTGCCGCTGCTGCTTCCTCCACGGCCCCTCCACGACCGGTCGCCGCCGCCGCTGCTGTCGTGACAGCCGCCGCCGCTCCTGCTGAGACAACCGCCGCTGCCACTGCTGTGACAGCCGCCGCCGCCGTCCCGGCCCTACCCTGCAGCCGAGGCGCGACCCTCCTCTGCCGCCCTGTCGCGGCCCTGTTCCTGCCGGCGCACCTCGGCCTTGCCCCACCGCTTGCGGACCTCTACCCACCCGCCCCTGGTAAGAGCACCGCCGAGCCGCGCCCCTCCTGCTGCTGCTACTGCTAGCTTGCTGCTGCTGCTGCTGCTAGCCTACTGCTGCTGCTGCTGCTAGCCTGCTGCTGCTGCTGCTGTCATGGCTACCCCCAATGTTCTCACCTTTGATGCTGAGGGTCGGGCTGTCGACTTTGAGGTGAGGGTCGATGATCTCCAGCTTTTCCTGCAGTGCGATAGGAAAGATGGTCTCTCACTGTTCGATCTCACGTCTGGCGCCTCTGCTGCCCCTGCTGCCGATACTGACAGTACTGTTCGCTCACAGTGGGCCACACGCGATGCTGCTGCCCGTCTTGCTGTGCGTAGTCACCTGCCGTCCACTGAGCGCGCGCACTTTAGTCAGTACAAGAGTGCTAAGACCTTGTACGACGCTGTAGTTGCACGCTACTCTTCCCCTACCACTGCTGCCCTTAGTCGCCTCATGCTGCCGTACCTGTTCCCTGACCTCGCCGCCTTTCCCACAGTCGCTGACCTCATTACGCACCTCCGCACTAGTGACACCCGCTACCGTGCTGCGCTTCCTGCTGAGTTCTGCGCCAAGAACCCCCCCCCCCCATGTACATCACCATCTACTACCTAGTCATCTGGCTCCCTTACTCCCTTCGCCCGGTCAGGGACCACATCCTCTCTGTTTGCCCCACCACACTCACCGTTGACCTCCTCGAGGAGCGCCTCCTGGCAGCTGAGAAGAGTATAGTCGCTGTAGGAGCCTCTCGTGGTGACCCTCGTGCCCCCTTCTTTGAGGGGTGCTCCCCCTCCCCCCTTTTGCCCTCTGTTGCCTCTGCTGCTGCGGTCGACCTCGTTGGCACTGAGTCGGTCGGCGCTGCGTCTGCCCCGAGCGGGAGACGCCGCAACGGCAAGGGCAAGGGGGGCAAGGGCGCTGGAGGAGCTGGCGGGGGCGGTGGAGGTGGCGTCGGAGGTGGCGGTGGAGGCGGCGGAGGGGGTGGGGGTGGCGGTGGGAGTGGTGGCGGGGGTGGGGGCTTCGGTGGCGGCGGTGGAGGCGGAGGAGGCGGCGGCAGTGGCGGTGGGAGCGGAGGAGGCGGTGGTGGCGGCGGTGGCGGCGGCGGCGGTGGAGCTGGTCGGGGAGGCTCTGTGCAGCGGGGCGGCTTCGGTGGTGGTCAGCGCCAGCAGCAGCAGCAGCGCACTCGTGAGACCCCGCCCCCCCAGCAGCTTCGTGAGTGGTACGCTGCGCGTCAGCGGGGTGGGGGTCCTGGTCCCTGTGCCTACGTCCTGCGTACCGGCGACCGCACTGGTGAGCCGTGCGGTGGCCCGCACACCACCCAGCGCTGCTTCGGCCGCCTGACGGACGCCGGGCGTCTCCAGTTCCCTGACGCCACTGAGATCCCTCGCTGGGGCGAGTTGCTTCGGTCGGGGGTTGCTATCTTTGATCTTGATTATGATGCTATTCTTGCTGCCATGTATGTTGTGTCTACTAGTGATGAGGGTGACTGTTACCTGTGTGTTCCGCCTGACCCGGGCATTGAGGCTGCTGCTCTAGGTGCTAGTGCGTCTGCTGCTCCAGGTGCTGGTGAGTCTGCTGCCCCAGGTGCTGGTGAGTCTGCTCTCTCCGGTACCACGTCGGCTCCGGCTTTGCACACTTTCACCCTTGACTCGGGTGCTTTCCGCTCCTTCTTTCGAGACCGCACCACACTCACGCCGCTTAGTCGGCCGGTTGCAGTCTCGCTGGCAGTCCACTCTGGGGGTCCTGTCCTTGCCCACTTCTCCACTGTCTTACCGTGTCCGGCGGCCCCTTCTGGCACCCTGTCAGGATTTACCTCCCCTTGTTCTCTACGAACCTGGTGAGTGGTGCTGACCTACAGGATGGGGGGGTTGACCAGTTCACTCCTGCGAGTCAGCGAGTGACCCACTGTACGTGTGCTCGGACGGGCCGACGCTTGGCCACGTTTACCCGTCAGCCGGGGTCGAGCCTGTACACACTGACTACTGAGTCTCCTCCGGCTGCTGAGTCTGGTCAGGTAGCTGCGTCGGGTAAGGTGTTTGCTGCAGCGTCCAGGTCTGGTCCTGAGTCAGCCCCCTGCTCGTGTCGTCACCTGTCTCACCAGACTCTCCTCTGGCACCACCGCCTTGGCCACCCCTCCCTGCCTCGTCTCCGAGGCATGGCCTCTCGTTTCCTTGTCTCTGGTCTCCCCCGGTCCCTCCCTCCTCTTCCTCCGGGGCCTGCCCCTACTTGCGTTCCCTGCGTCGAGGGGCGGCAGCGCGCCGCTCCTCACTCCTCCGAGTTTCCTCCGACAGAAGTTCCGCTGCAGACGCTTCACCAGGACGTGTGGGGCCCCGCCCGCGTCCATGGACAGGGTCACGAGTGTTACTTCCTGCTGGTGGTTGACGACTACTCGCGTTACACCACAGTCTTCCCCTTGCGCAGCAAGGGCGAGGTCACTGAGGTGTTGATCGACTGGATCCGCGCAGCTCGTCTCCAACTCAGAGAGAGTTTCGGCTCGGACTTTCCTGTTCTGCGTCTGCACTCCGACAGAGGCGGAGAGTTTTCCTCTGACCTTCTGCAGGCCTTCTGTCGTGCACAGGGCATCCGCCAGACGTTCACGCTTTCGGCCTCTCTACAACAGACTGGGATTGCTGAGCGCCGCATTGGCATGGTCATGGACGTCGCTCGTACGTCCATGATCCATGCGGCTGCTCCCCATTTTCTATGGCCGTTCGCGGTTCAGTACGCTGCGCATCTGATCAACCTTCAGCCCCGGGTCTCCTTGCCGGAGACCTCCCCTACTCTGCGGTGGACGGGGAAGGTTGGCGATGCGTCTACGCTTCGGGTCTGGGGATCTCGGGCGTTTGTCCGCGACTTGTCTGCGGACAAGCTGTCCCCCCGTGCTGTTCCCTGCGTCTTCCTTGGCTTCCCCCCTGACGCGCCTGGCTGGCAGTTTTACCACCCCACCTCGCGCCGTGTTCTGTCCTCCCAGGACGTCACCTTTGACGAGTCGGTGCCTTACTACCGTCTCTTCCCCTACCGCACTGCCCCCCTCCCCCCGCCGCCGCTCTTCCTTGCGCCAGGTCCTCCCCCGGTAGACCCCCTCCCCCCTCAGGGTCCTGCTCCGTCAGGTGTGTCCCAGGTAGACGCAGTCGAGCCTGTCGAGGTAGCTGTTGACTCTGGTGCTGCTAGAGGTGCTGAGCCTGCGGGTTCCGGGTCTGGAGGTGCTGAGCCTGAGGGTGCGGAGCCTTGGGGTGCTGAGCCTGGGGGTGCTGAGCCTGGGGGTGCTGACTCTGGGGGTGCTGAGCCTGGGGGTGCTGAGTCTGGGGGTGCTGAGCCTGGGAGTACGGAGCCTGGGGGTGCTGGGTCTGCTCGTGTGGCCTCTCGCGGTGCTTCGTCGAGGCGGGAGCCACTCTCTCCGCAGGAGCTGCGCGAGTGGTTTGCCCGGCGCTGGAGCCGTGCTGCTGGAGCTGGAGGCACTACTGTTGCTGCTGGTCCCGGAGGTGCTCGTACTGGCGGTACTGGAGCTGCTGGGACTGGGGGTGCTGCTGGGGCTGCTGGAGTTGGTCCTGCTGGAGCTGCTGGCGGTACTGGAGCTGCCGGTCCTGCTGGAGTTGGTGCTGCTGGAGCTGCTGGAGCTGCTGGGGGTGTTGGCGCTGGTGGTTCTGCTGGCGCTGGTGCTTCTGAGGGTGCTGGAGTTGGCGCTGTTGGAGCTGGAGGTGCTACTGGCGCTGGTGCTGCCGCTGGGAGTACTGGTGCTATCCCTGCTGGTTCTGAAGGCGCTGCGCGGCCGCGGCCGTACTTCGTTCCGCTCCTTGAGCAGGTTCTTGGTCTCCCGCCCTCTACTGGTCCTGCTCCTCCCTTAGAGTGTCCACCGCCTGTCCGGTCGTAGTCACAGTTACAGCCCGCCTCCCCTCTACCTGCTCCTTCTCCCTACACTGGTCCTACTGGAGGTCTTGCTGAGCGTCGTGAGCCTGCGTCTCGTCCTGCGTCGCCTGTTCGTGCTGCTCGCACTAGTAGTCGTGCTCCGCGTCCGCGTCCTCCTGCGGTCCCAGGCACACACCAGATGGCACTGCGTCCTTCTACTGCTCCTCTGCGTGTCCTGTTGCCGTCTCCTCCAGAGTCCTCTCTTCCTGTTCTTGCTGACCCGGAGTCTGACTCTCTTCGTGCTGCCAGTCCTACTGTCACGCGTCTCCTGGCCACTGTTGTCACTGACCCTTCCTTTGAGTCCACTGCTGC